AGCGACATGAACTGTCCCGGACTAAGATTTTAAAGGTTAAGCTCATTTACTATTTTCAATTTTACTTGAAGGTTAAGTTCATCTACTAATTTACAATATTCAAAAATTGTACAATCTAGTTAGCTTTCACTTCCCGCAAATCTCATGAACCTGTCTCACTAGAAGTTATGCTTTGGAAGGCAAATTAATGAGCTTATTTGCTATGATTCTGTATACTGACTTACCTTCTCAGTTCTTTTGACAAGGATCTTACAGCTTTTGCTTCTTTTAGGTAGAGTTCCTGAAACCTTTGTAATTCTGCTTTATTAGCAGCAGCTTGCAAAGTTTTTATTCTGGAGAGTTCAGATTCCAGATCTTGGATTTTCAGTTACATCTGAGCTCTTTCTGAAGCAAAATCATTCAGCCTTTGCAGGAACTGTTCTAGAGATGCTGCTTGAGCCTAAAATAAATTAAAAGGGAACATTTTTAAAGTAATTATAACCTGAATAATTACTGTGCATTTGTTTCCTTTTGTTTGGAGTCAGTTATTCAGAGAACAATTTTAAGTCTGTGAAGAAAGAAAGAAGCTCAAGCTGAACATATTTATCATCAGCATCAACTGAATTAATAATTGAGTCTGAGTTGTACAACAATTCTCCAAAGAATGACAGAAACAAGTTAAAAATTTAAAAATGGAACAATGTAACTTAAAAGCAGTTCAAGAGTATGGTATAATTTCTTAATCACAATTTTTTTTATTGTTTATATTAGTCTTTTATGCATACTGGCCTTAGTAATCAATGATTTTCTAGTGAGAATTATTACGATGGCAGATCAATTTAGTTGTAAGAATGATGGAAACTAAAATATTTAAAGGGAGAAACAGATATCACCTTCCTTCTAGAAGCCTGCCAAACAAACTGCTGTAAGAAAAGTCAAGAAAACATATACGATATATATATCCAAAATTGAATTTGCAGCGAAATGAATGAAAGCACATTACAGATAAATAAACCAACCTGCAAGAGGAGATGCATTTCGTTTAACTTTTCTACTATCTTCTGTCCTGATCTTCCTTCAAGCAGCACTTCATACTGTTCAGCTTCACCACATTTTAACGTATTTCTCTCATTATTACTTTTGAGACTTATAATTTCCTGTTTCAGCTGCATATTTTCTTTCTGTAGTGTTTTTTTTTTTTTTTGAGACGGAGTTTCACTCATGTTACCCAGGCTGGAGTGCAATGGCGCAATCTCGGCTCACCGCAACCTCCGCCTCCTGGGTTCAGGCAATTCTCCTGCCTCAGCCTCCTGAGTAGCTGGGATTACAGGCACGTGCCACCATGCCCAGCTAACTGTAGTGTTTTATATTTCTTTCTTTTTTTTTTTTTTTTCAGAAGTTCATCATCTTTAGATTTAGGAATTAACAAGGGTCAGGGAGACTACACCAGGCTGAGGGTTTCTTGGCTCCTGGAAACAGGCCCAGCTACAGCAAACACAGGGAAACATGAAGGGGGCAGCGGGAAGATTTGGTCTTGAACTTGGGGGGTGGGAAAGTCATGATCCCCACGACTGGAACAGCAGGAAGAAGCTGCATCTGAGGAAGGCCAGGGCCACCCAGAGGGGCAGCCCTGCCCTTGGGCTTGTCACCAGGAGGGAAGGTAAACAAGTCCCCTCCCTCAGTGCTGGGGAAAAGGCACTTGGCTGGGTCTCCTCCTGCCCTCTCCCCATCCGTGGAGAGCCGGGGTCCTTGCTTCCCTGCCCCTTTCAGGCGCCCAGAAGCCGGTCCTGGTTAAGCCTCTGGAAGAAGCTTTTGCCGAACTCATAGGTGCTGATCATGATGGCGCAGGAGGGGGCAGCCTTGATGATCCGAGGAAGGAAGTCTGCAAAGAGTTCCCTGGTGCCCGACTCGGCCCGGATCCTCCGCAGCAGCAGCCAGGTGGAGTCCACGTGCAGGGGTGTCACTCTCACAGCCTCCATCGCTCCCAGTGCAACCTGGCGTTGGGTCTTCACCACGTCAAAGGGTAGAGTCAGCACGGCAGCCACCGTCCCTGAGATGCCACCAGCCACAAACCTCATGCCCACAGAAGTCTGGTCCTTTGGCCTGAGCCCATTCAGCCATCTCTTCACCAGCTCATAGTTGAACCAGTATAGGGCTAAGAAGGGCACATCTTGAAGGGCAGTGGGACCCCAGCCCAGCCACAGCGAGCGCCAGCCACCCTGAGCCACAGCAGTTCGAACACAGGCACCCAGCTCCTGGTACGACACGTGCTGAGCCTGCAGCTTTGTCCGCATGAGCTCCAGGGGGCTGATCACAGTCACGGTGCCCAAGCGGGCCAGCGCGCCAGCCACCATGGGTGCGTAGAGCTCAGAGGTCAGGGCTCGACCACACAGGAAGGCCTTGAGTTGGTCATAAGCAGTGAAGTAGATGGCAGTAGCTGGCACAGTCATCACCAGGGTGGCGGGGAGGCCGCTCCAGAGGGTCCGGGTGCCCTCGTGCCTCACGATCTTCACGAAGGTGTCCATGGTGCCAGTGAAGCGGGTAGGGTCTTGAAGCCAGGTGGCACAGCGGGCACCATTTGGGCACAGGTACAGGGGCTCCAGAACACCATTGCAGTACAGGAGGCACTTCCCTGTGGAATGGAGAGAGGAGGGCAATTTGGTATAGGAGAGGCTCCACAGTCTGGAGGAAGGCGTCAGCTCGCTGGCCACGGAAGGCCGCTGAGACTGCAGGCGAACCTTCACCACGTCTAGGGGTGTCATGAAGAGGGAGGTGACCACCGCCCCAGCGCCTGAGGCCACCATTGCTGGAGGGGGCTGATGCCCCCAGGATCCTGGTCAGTCATTTTGAAGCTTCAGTCCTGGTTCTAGGCTGGTGCTCGTGCGGCGCGGCACCCAGGGCCGGGCGGGCCCATACCGGCTCCGCCGCCTGTGCGGGGTCCGCGCGCGCTCGCCCGCCCGCACCGAGGCAGACGCGGACCTTTATATTTCTTTCTTAATGCTGTCATAGAGAATAGTGTCTGCTGAAGAAGAATCACTGGGTCCACATGTAGACATTGTGAAGGTGCAGTTTCCTGTGCTTCTGTAAGGTCATCCTGCATGAGTGAAAAAACAATATAGTTTGGTAATGACGGAAGTAGACAGAGGCCGGGTGTGGTGGCTCACACCTGTAATCCCAGCACTTTGGGAGGATGAGATGGATGGATCACCTGAGGTCAGGAGTTTGAGACAAGCCTGGCCAACATGGCAAAACCCCGTCTCTACTAAAAGCACAAAAATAAGCTGGGTGTGGTGGTGGATGCCTGTAATCCCAGCTACTCAGGAGGCCGAGGCAGGAGAATGGCTTGAATCGGGGAGGTGGAGGTTGCAGTGACCAGAGACAGTACCAGTGCACTCGAGCACGGGCAGAAAAAAAGAAAAGATAATAGAAAGTAGACTGAGAATGGTCTAACATAAAACTAATCACTTTTGAAATGAATTCAGTTGCAATAAAATATTACCTATACTGTTGTACATTCATAAAAAAACGGACCCTTGGATTACTCAGAAAATTAAAAACAAAGTTAAAACCACAAGAATTCACAAAAACATATCCTTTACTTTCATCGTTTTTTCCACATAACATTTGGATTTGATCTCAGACTTCTGTTTTTCTATCATCATTTCACGGCTTTCCTCCTTAAAATGGCTCTAAGTCACCCCCTTAGCACAAGTCTCTTATGCCTTTAACCCACTGTCATTCTCCGTAATTTGCATGGAAGTTTTAGGGGCGTAATATTAAATTATTTGGGCCTCAGTCAAGAAATGGCTTCCATAATAAGACTCTGAAAATAAGACTCTAATAAATCTTGGAAAAAAAGTGGATTCCAGCACCACAAGCCTCTTGCTGAACTGCAAGTGTCTTAAGTTAAT